TCATCACCAATTTCAGCATCATCCATGTAGAAATCGGACACGTCAAATTTAGGCAAAATTGGATTGATATCATCAGCGTAATTAGCTTCCACATTTTTCCCTTTTCCTTTTGTGGAAGCCTGGTATAATTTAACCAAATGTTTTGCCGTTCGACATTCATTCGCCCAGTGTCCTTTTATGCCACATTTGTAGCATTCACCACTTGGTTTTGGCTTTTCATAAGTTTTAGCCTGTGGTGGTTTGAATTTTCCCTTTTCTTTGGAGGATGATCCATTTGGATTTTTATAGCCCCTGTTCGGCCCTTTGTTGCGGTTATTTCCGCGTCCACGTTTAAAGTGTCTGCGAGCACCACCTTGGATAACATTTGATTCTGGTGCTGAACCCCGATCAGGATGGCCAAAATTTGTAGGGCTACAACCGGTGGGTCTCATGTTATGATTTTTCATTAAGAGCTCATTATTCTGCTCAGCAACAAGTAATACTGAGATTAACTCAGAATACTTTTTAAAGCCCTTTTCTCTGTATTGTTGCTGTAATATCACATTTGACATATGCATGGTGGAAAAAGTTTTCTCCAACATGTCATGGTCAGTGATATTATGTCCACATAATTTTAATGTGGACGTGACTTTAAAAATAGCAGAATTATAATCACAAACGGATTTAAAATCCTGGAATCTTAAATTGATCCATTCATACTGAGCTCTCGACAGTAAGACCTTTTGTTGATGACCATATCTCTCTTGGAGATTATCCCATAATTCCTTCGGATCTTCCACCAATAAATATTCAGATTTTAAACTTTCATGAAGATGGTGGCGAAGGAAAATTATGGCTTTTGCCTTTTGCTGAGATGATGATGTATTGTTATCAGCAATTGTATTTTCGAGGCCATTAGCCTTAAGGTGAGCAAGTGCATCAACCCTCCATTCCAGGTACCTTTGACCGGATAAATCAAGAATGTCGAATTCTCTTTTGGTGATGTTGGCCATGAAATAACTACAAGATAAATTAAATTTATTATTATTTAAAACACATAGGAATCTCTAATCAAAGCTAGGAGAATGAATTTTTTTTTTAAAAAAAAACGTAGTATATGCAATTTTCATAAAGTCATAATTTATTTACTCCGTAATGTTTTATCCCTTATTTTAAAAGAATCTTTTGACTATAATGCAATAGACAACAAGACAAAATATGTATGAGTAGTCCATGTGAAGAACATCAAAAATGTTTGCTCCGAAGATTCCATTTATCAAATACAAAGCAAAAAAAAAAACAAGGGTAA